CCGCCACGCCTGGCTAATTTTTTTGTATTTTTAGTAGAGACGGGGTTTCACTGTGTTAGCCAGGATAGTCTCGATCTCCTGACCTCGTGAACCTCCCACCTCGGCCTCCCAAAGTGCTGGGATTACAGGCGTGAGCCACCACGCCCGGCCAAAAATTTCCCTTTTCTCAAAGTTTTCATATACGTGCTAGTAGATATGCATGTTACATGCGAGTAAAACTCCCTAGTCATTGTAAAAAGCAAAAATGCCCTTCAAATATCTAAATGCACCATAGTGTGCAAGCCCTTGGTTTGTGCTTTCAGCAATGGTTCCTTAATCGTAACTATTCTAGACTTTATCTGAAAGTATCTTTATTTTATTTCACTTTAAAAGTTAGTTCAATCTAGAATTACAGGTTGATAGCTGTTATCTCTCAGTGTTTTGAAGATACTATTTTATGTCGTCTGGCGTGTTTTGTTTCTATTTAACAAAAAAAGTCTACTCTCTTATTTGTAGGTGATTTGTGAGGGGGTGGTTTCTGCTTGCTTTTAAGATGCTTTGTCTTTGATGTGCTGCAGTTTCACTAAAATGTGAAACTGTGTCTGTGTGTAGCATATTATTTGCTCTGTTTGGAATTCATTATGCCTACTGAATCAGAGGAGTCATGTCTTTCATCAATTGTAAAAACTTCTTTCATCAATTCTGGAGACTTAGCCATTGTCTTTTCAAATTTCGCCTTTCCCATGTTGTATGTACTCTGTCCCTAAACTCCTATGAGTGGATGTTAATCTGTTTTTCATGTCTTTTAAGCCCAATTTCATAGTTACAACTCTGTCTCCTTGTAGTTCAAGTTTATAAATTTTCTTTTCTTTTTTCTTTCTTTCATTTTTTTAAGAGACAGGGCTTCAGCACATTGCCTGGGCTGGAGTACAGTGGCCATTCACAGGCACAATCATAGAGCACCATTATAGCCTCAAACTTGTGGGCTCAAACGATATTCCTGCCTGAGCCTCCCAAGAAGCTGAAACTGCAGCAGCTTAAATTTTCTTATCTATATCGAATCTGAAGCTGTATCTTATCTATATCTTACCTATATCTTATCTTAACTGTATCTTATGTATATCTAATCTGAAAGTATGCCTTATCTCTATCTTGCCTATATCTTAACTGTATCTAATCTGAAACTATGGCAGCTTAAATTTTCGTGTCTATATCTAATCTTAAAAGCCACAATTTTAAGATGCAGAAATTGTCAGCTTGGTTCAAAAAAACAAGACCAAACTATATACTTTTTATCAGAAATTTGCTTTAAATATAAAGGCTCATGTGTTGTAAGTAAAAGAGTGAAAGAAGGTATACTATGCAAATAGTATACTAAAGCTACTGTTTTAATATGACACAAAATAGAATTTAAGACAGATAATGTTATTGTACATAGATTTCATAATTATAAAAGCAGCGAGAATTATGAAAGTGTCATTTCATCAAGAAGACATACCCAGTAATATTTTCAAAATACGTGCAGTATGAATGATCAGAACTGAGGAGGGAAATGGACAGATCTGCAGTCACATTTGGAGATTTAAATGCCCTCTTCTTTAATTGATAGAACAAGCAGACACAAGGAAAAGAAGAAGAATCTCATCTCTTACTTCATGTCGTATAGAAAAATTAACTTGAAATGGACCATAAAACTAAACTTCTAAAAGAAAACATAAAAGAAAATCTTAGTGAATGTGGATTAGATAAATTTCCTAAATAGTACCAGAGGGCTACCAAGTCAGTTCAATAGAGAAGGGAAGATCTTTTTAACAAATGGTGCTATAATACTTAGGTATCTGTATATAAGATTATAAACCTAAACCAGTCTTACTCCAGACATAAAATTTAATTCTAGATGGATTATAGATCTAAATGTAAAACTCAGAACCATAATCTTCCTAGAAGAAAATATCAGAGACTATGTTTGCAGGCCTAGAGGAGGTAACAGTTCCTTGAACAAAATGCATAAAACACTAACCATAAAGAAGATGACATTAAGAAACCAAGAACGTTGGGTGAGGTGACTCTTGCTTATAATTCCAGTGACTCAGGAGGCTGAGGCAGGAGGATCGCCTGAGGCCAGGAGTTTCAGACCAGCCTGATCAACATAGCAAGACCCATCTTTTAAAAAACAAATTTTTTTTTAGCCAGATATAGTGGTGGACACTTGTAGTCCCAGCTCGTGGGAGGCTAAGGCAGGAGGATCACTTGAGCTTAGGTGTTTGAAGCTACAGTGAGCTTTGATCCCACCACTGCACTCCAGCCTGGGCAACAATGCAAGACCCTGTCTCAAAAAAAAAGATAAAAAACCAAATAGGCAAACCACACAGTGCTAAAAAAATATTCTCAGCGCATACATGACATACTACTTATATCCAGAATATATAAATATCTCCTACAAATCAACAATAAAAAGATGAGTAACCCAATTAAAAATACACAAAAGACTTGAACAGATACATCACAAAAGACATGTGAATGGCCAGTAAGCACATGAAAAGGTGCTTAACATTAGGCATCAGAGAAGTGCACAGACCACGATGAATGAAGAGGTTTGTAGGGATTCGAATAAGAGTGATGTAATTGTTCTATATTTTGATTGTGGGTGGCTGCACGAAATTCACATTTGCCAAAACTTAACTATACACTAAAAAAGATTGAATTTGCCTAGATAAAAATAGATATTCTTGAAGTCATAATGAAATACGATATCCCACTTAGTTGAACCACAAAAGAAAAAAATAGCATCATTCACTGATGAGGATCTGGAGCAACTGCAACCCTCATTGACTACTAGTGGACATATAAAGTTGTATATACCACTACAAGAACTTTTAGGAAGGTTTTTAAGGAGTTAAACATACATCTAATCTTACCACCCAGGTTTTACCCAGGACAAATGAAAGCGTATGTCGACAAAAACACTTTGACAAAAACATTCTTAACAGCCTTATTCATAATCATCTAGATCTTGAAATGACCCACGTTTCCATCAACAGGAAAATTGCTCAATTGTATGTTTACACAATATAATACTACTCAGCAATTAAGAGGAACAACTGCTGAAACGCAAAACACATAACAAAAATACATACCATATAATTCCAGTTACATGATCATCATGAGCAGGTAACACTAACTTGTACTGTAAGTCAGAAAGCGGTTGCCAGTGATTGGGACTGACTATAGAAGTGCACAGCTGAACATTGATGGAAAAGATACATGTCTTGTTGGGGGTAGTGGTTTCATGATTTATACGGTAAGCAAAATCCTTTCAGCTGAGCTGTTCAAATGTCTACATTTCATTATAAAATATACTGTAATTTATTAAAGTAAGTTACAGTATGATAAGGAAAAGTTAGTGGTAAGGAATGGACTTAAAAAATAAATATTGTTGAGCATATTACCTAGTTATTTAGGGAAATAAAATTAGCTTAGAGCCTCACTTCACACTTTATGTCAAAATAAATTTTCATTTAGCCTAGAGTTCAGTAATAGACGTTTTTAAATTGTCCATTTGGAACAACTTTATATAGGTCATTGCCACAGTGCTAAAGTGTGTGAGACCAACCAGCTCAACCTAGTTCGCCCAGAACAGTCATGGTTTTAGAACTGAATGCCCCATGTCTGGAAACCTTTGGTCTCAATTCTAAAACTGGAAGTCTCAGCTAGTCCAGGGAAGTAGCTCACCCTAATGTGAGTGCAGTTAAATACAGCATTATGTTTAGCAGTATGAATCAATAACCTTAAAATTTCAATGCTTACTGAACTTCTCTAGGGAAATGCCCTGAAAGCACTAGGGAATAGTAGACCAATCAGAAAATGTAAAAGGAAAATTGGAGGAAT